TTTAATTTTTATTTGGGTTTTTCTCTGTTGGGGTTGCTTTGTTGTTGTTGTTGTGGCCGATTCCCAGGAGGGCCGGGGCTGTTTTAAGCAGCTTGTCCCTGGGGTGAAGTTCCAGCAAGAAGGGAGCTGTTCAGCATAAACGGGCGTAGGCCTCGTCATTTTCTAGAAAGGATTTTTTATTTAAAATTTAAAACCATATTACTTCATACAGCAAACTGTGCACTTTGATATATCACAGTGTCTTAAAAAGGAAAATAATCAGAATTTTTTTCTTTTTTTTTTTTTCTCTTTTTTTTTTTTTGGAAATTTTAAATGAAACTTCCTTGTTCTCTCCCAACTCTCTCATTTACATCGGCCTAGAATGATCAGCAAGTAACACAGTTACTATGAAACCAAAATTGTTACAAAATGTTTACAAAAAACTATATTCATAGAAATTCTGCATGTCCACAAAGGAAAATCCCCTGAATGTCACGGAGACCACTTTTTTTTCCTTTTTTTCCCGCTCTTTCCTGTTTTTTTTTTTTTTCTTTTTTTAAAATGTCTTTTTTTGAGAAACACGTCTAAGTAAGGTACAGACAGCAGAGGCTGGTGCTGCCCATGCCCAGGGATGCTCCTGCCCGTGCGGGGCCGTGCCATCGCCCCCCGCCATCGCAGTTTGGCCACGGGTGGCTCAGGTTGGTGGGCGCTGGGCGGCAGCCACTGGGGTCCCCCTGCGGTGACGCTCCCGGAGCCCCCTGCGCTGGCGCCCGGCTGAGCCCCGCTCCCAAAAGTGCCCGTCGAGGGGGGAGCCGCTGTTGCCCAGCGCTGGTTCCCCTTCCCGTGCTCCATCTCTGTGGATCCAACGTCTCCACGTCGCACCCAGCACTGCTGGTTGTCTCCAGCACCGTTGGTTGTCCCCAGCCCAGGCTCTGCCCTGCTCGGTGTCATGGGAGCTGGGAGGAAAAGTGGCCAAGGGGCGGTGAGGGGAGGTGGCAGCAGTTTGGGTACAGTTTAATCGCCCAGAGCTGTTCTGTCTTTATTTCCTCCTCGCTGTTTCAGTCCCTCTGCCCGCCAAGCGATGAAAGGAACTGATTTAACCGCAGCTGGAAGGCAGGCGATTTGTAAGACATGAGTCGCCAATGGTCACAAATGGGTCCCAGAAGGATTTGAGGCTTTGTCACCGAGTCTGTCCCTGCTGATGTGTCCCAGCGTCACTGCTCGGTGTCAGGCTCGTGTCCCCTCCTCTGCAATTAAGCACCACATGGCTGATGAGAGTACAGGGTTAAATGGGGATAATGGAAGAGGCTCCAGTCTGTGCTGGACTGGCACTGGTGAAGGGGGGGGCCGGGGTCTGAACCAGCTCAGCTCCTGCACAGGGTGGGACCCTGCAGGAATGGGGTCCTGGCCACTGCCCCGGCCCCAGCGCTGTTTTGAGCGGTGCAGAACATTTCCTGGGTAAACGTGTCCGATGTCTTAACGATCAGGATTTAAACATAAACCATAATGTGATCTGCACGACATTGGCTGTTGTTTCATGGCTGGTTTATGGGCAGTGCAGGGAGGGAAGGGACCAGGTCAACTTGCAGGGTTTGGGCCTGCTGGCAGAGAGCACCGGTACTTGCAGGTTCTCTGCAATGTTTGTGGGTGAAATCCAATCGAACTGGTGTCAGAGATGAATAAATGGGGTCTATGGCATTAGTCATATTTATTTTTAAAAAGTCTGCCAAGCAGCAAAACGAGTGCCGTTCTCTGTGGTATTTTACTCTGAACATTTAAAGCCCGTTTCAGACTTTGTTTTTCTGTCTGCCTTACTTGTAAGAATCTCTAAGAGTTTAGAAATCTGCGAAGGAAACACAAAATCTGCTGCTCTGACAAACCTCAGGATTTGCAGGGAAATGCCGACAGAATGTCGTTAGTGTTGGGAAGCAGACCCAGCCTTGCAGTCTGTCCTGCGCCGTGTGGGTGTGTGGTGAGCAAAATATGAAGAATAAGTTGCCCATTGGGTTGGCGGCTTCCACCCCAAATTTTTAATGGTTTCTCTGAAAGGTAAAAATTTAATGTAGATTCTCTGCACGTGTACTTGAGTCAAACTATGACGAATTGCCTTTTTTTGTTTTGGGTCATTGTTGCTTTTTTACATAACGGAAAAACAAAACAAGGACAAACTCTGTTGTGTGAAGGGGAGCAGCTATCTCCCCTTGAGCTAATTTGCTAAGATAACCTTCCCAACCGAGCCCCCGAGAGAAGCGGGTGGGGAAAACAACCTGAAATGTGCCAAAACCAGGTTTGTTCCTCTGGGTGAGGGCAAAGTCCCCAGGAAGGGGAGGGCGAACTGGGTCAGCCCTTCCTGTCGTGGCCATGGCATCTCGCTGCGGTGGCCGCGGAGGGGACGGGTTTGGGGTGCGGAGCTCGGGCACGGCTGGGGGCTCACAGGGGCAGTGGGTGCAGGGGGTCCCAGCAGCAGCTCACGGTCACCCTTGTGTGTGCAAGGGCAGGAGATTGCTCTTTTCCTCAATGCCAGTGTTTAAATTGGAGTTGTTAAGCACCTCAGCGGTACTCCCCATGGGATGTTCTGGGTTACAACGGGCAGAGCCGCTTGTTCGCTTCATTTTACAAATAAATCCACAGAGCATCGCGCTGGCCACCCCTGCGGCTCCTGTGCAGGGACGGAGCTGAGCGACGTTTCCGCAGGTCAGCAGAGGGGTCTTTGGTAATTCTGACTAAATTGGTCTGCAGGACCAGCCTTCTGGGTTAAGCAACCTGAAATAAGAACACAGTTTCACGGAAGATTTCGTACAAGCGTCTTAGCGTGTGTGCTGCAGCCCGTGGAGATGCTGCGGGGGGCAGAGCAAGGGGGCCTGGGCCTGGCTCCCAGTGCTGCCTGTCCCAGGCCACCCCGGCCCCGCAGGCTGGGACTTTGTCTTTCAGGTCTCCGATGCCATGGAGAGCGTTTAGTCCAAAACCAGACCCACAGTCCTCCGAGTGTGACCGCAGCGGAGCCACAGCTCAGCACCGCTGGATTTGGTGGGAATTGCTACTGTCCAGGCTCAGAAACAGCTCTGCTGCCGCCGCTGCTGGAGCCGGTGGGCCCGGCCGCTTTCTGCGCTGCTCTGTGGCAGAGCCTGAGCTTGTGGAAAGAGCAGAGGAGCCCAGGGCCTGGAGATCACGGTGGCACCCTGAGCATGGGGTGTCCCTCGGCGATGGCGGTGCCTCCATCCCCCATCCTGCCCAGGGGCCTGGCTCCATTCAGGCCCACTCGCCCTCAGCAGCCATCTTGGCTCTCCTGATGGCTGCGTCTGGAGCCGTCTCCTGCCCCACAGGGACCTCGGCTGTGGGTGGCCATGGCCAGCACAGCCAGGAGTTGCAGGGCGAGGGTCTCCAGGTGCTCACAGACATTTTCCCTTCCAGGACAGCGTATCCCAGCCGCGCTGTGCTGTGGGTGCGGGACGGCCGCTCGCACAGGCGGCCGCTCGCGCTGCACCCCACAGTGTTTCATTTTATTGCCATGCTAAAGAGCCTCCCGCGGGGGCTCCTCTGTGCCTGCCGAGGGCTGGTTTGGCTCAATTCTCTTTCGCCTCCGCGTGTTTCCAGTGTGTAAACATCAGACTCCGGGATGGTGGTGTTGTTAGGACTCCATGAGGCCTGTGGGATCTAAGCATTGGAAAAGAAAAAAAAAAAGAAAAAAGGAACGAAAAATAACCAAACCAAACCAGAAAAGCCCCAAGACCCAGGTCACAGTCCGTGCTCTGAAGTTCTTGCTGTTGCGCCGGTGGTCGATGCTGCTGTGTTGCAAAGGCCTTGCTCTTGAAATGAACCAAACCAGGCGTTTTGTTTTGTATCGTTTTCTTGGTTTTTAATCCTTTCTTCCCCAGTTAAGAGCGCATCCATCCTCGTCCGCTGCAGGTCCTTCCCTCCCGCCCCCCTGTCCCCGCTCCCTAGGGGAAGACGGGCGTCAAGCCGGTGTTGCAGCCCATGTTGTCCTTGCCCGGCAGCCGGCGGTCGTTGAAGGTGTGCATGTTGATCACGGCGTCCGTCTTCACCATGACGGGCGGCTGGGGCTTGTGCTTGACCCGGCGCTGGCAGGTGAGCGACAGCCGGATCTCGTCGGCCATGGCGCTGCAGAAGGAGCGCTGGGGAGAGCAGGGACAGAAACCGCCGTTAGTTCTGGCAAAACGCTCTGCAAGCACAGGGGCTGCTGACAGCGGGCTCTGCAGAGGCCACGCGCGGGGCCTAGGCTGTGTTTAAGGCATCGGCTGCGCTTAGTGGGGTTCAGCGATGCACGGGCATTTGGCTGACCCCTCTCTCCTTTGGCAGGGATGGGGCCTTTGACGCGCTAAACTCTGCAAAAGGCAGAGCTAAAGGCGGCTGCTGGGGCTTTGTGTGAGCCCTGCTGGGCTGGGAGGTTTGCGTGCTGCAGTCACAGGGCTGTGGGATCTGCTGGGCTGGCTAGCGGGCAGTTGGCCTTCATCCGTCTGCCTCACCCCGTGGCAGTGTGCTTTGATTTCTGGTCGTGCACACAAAAGCGCTTTCCACTGTGCCATGACATGCAGGGAAGAGGGAAAAACATCCAAACAGTCCTCATGAGCAGTGGGATGGGCTGTTCTGAGCGTTGTGACAAGCTGGTGAAGTGGTGTGAGGCTGACCCTGAGCAGTGCCTTGAGGGTTTTAGAGCAGGAGTGGGGAGGAGCTGGAGACTCCACGTGTGTATTCACTGTGCTTGGAACATGCAGTGCAATTGCGTGGGATAGTGGTGAGTGGATTTAACTGCTCAGAAAGGTCCCTCCCTGGGACCCCTGTCTGTGCTTTCATGACTTAGGGGTTGGTTTGCTCAGTTTACCCTACAGCAGTTTACTGGTCTCGTTACCGCAGCAGCAGATAACCCTGACCAAAGCAGACATTATTTTCCCCCTGCCCTCGGGCTGCTGGAGTGGGACAGAGCACTGAGCCTTAGGGGACGGCGTTCTGGGGGTGCTGCATTGCAGCCCTTGGTCCCCTAGGCAGCAGGGGCAGGGCTGAGCCCCCTGCCCGTCTCTGGGGCCAGTCCTCAGTGTCTGGGGTACTGGTGGTGCATGGAGCTGGAGGAGATGGGTACCTGCTCGCGCTCGGCCGTTTTGCGCAGCTTGTAGATGAACTCCACCATGGCCACGAACACCGACAGCACCAGCCCCGCAGCCAGCACGATGAAGATGCCCCCGATGTTCTGGATGCCCAGCGCGCTGGCCTCCTTGTTCTCGTCCTCGGGGCAACCGTTCCCTCGCCACCACTTCTCCTTCATCACGTGCAGCTTGTCCTCCTCCTGCAGCTGGAGGATGGCGATGGTGATCTTGTCCCTGTACGGTGACCCTGGGGAGGGGAGCACCGTTACAGAGGGAACGTAGGACAAACGTGACACAAAGTGCATTGAGCAGGGCTGTTCAGACTGCCCTTCAATGGGGTAGGCTTTGGTATTTGGAAATTTGCTGATGCAAGTGGAATGTCTTAATTCCCTTTGTTGTATCTGTGGTAGCCAACCCCTCCTGGGCTACCTGTGGAGACCCCCACGGTCACTTACCCATGGGAGTGCCGATGCCGTAGCCCTTGGAGTCGATGAGCCCCCCGATCTGCGTCAGGTTGCAGTTCCTCTGCGTGATGTACTCGATGGTGGTGGACTCCATCAGCAGGGCGTAGTCGGCCGTCAGCGTCCGCTGGATCCCCTCCTCGTTGTTTTTAACCAGGGCTGTGGGTTTGCTGCTCATGAAAGCCCACATCTTCTCAAAGGTGGAAATCTTGGATTTCTGGAAAGACAATAAATACCCCCCCACCCCCCAAATAAGAATTACTCTTCTGTTTGCTGAAACTTGGTGGTAAATGATAGTACCGGTTTGAGAGCAGATCACGTACTGGGACTGTTACCAGTTTGAGCTTGTGGTAAACACCTCTCTGCCCTCATTGCCCAGCATTGTTTGGCCTCAAACCTGAGGTGCTGTGGTGGCACTGGGCAGCACTGGTTTCCATGGGGCACAGCCAGGCCGTGCCTCGATGCCCGGCAGCACTTGCTGGTGTGACAGGCCATCGGTGTGGCTGCTTAACTGGATTAGATTCCTAAGCTGAACTCTGCTTATCCTGTAATGCTTCTGCACAATGAGAGAAGACAGAGCGCGTTTCACAGGGCATGTTTTCCTCTTCTGCACTCACTCTATTATGTCTTTCCCCCAGCATCGCAAAGAAACATGTCTCCTCTGAGATGTGTGCAACTGCCAAACCAATTTAACGTATACACATAAACAGAGGCACAGAAATATTCAAGAAGATTGTCTTACGGCTAAAAATGAACATGGATATTCTTTTACTATCAGCAGGCGCTCTGTTAAGAGAGGAGGAATATGTTTTCTAGCTTAGTATTCATGTGAATGTTTTTTTTTCCTCTTGGAGAAAATGTGTTGGGTCAGAAGATATGCGGTGTTTTCACGTCTTTCCATAACATCTGAAGTATCCTCTTTATCTACAACCGCGGTGTCTTTTGGGCTGTCTCAAAGACCTAACGGGCTGCAGAAGGAGCCTCAGCTTTCTCTTGAAGCGCGTCCGTCTGTGGTCCCCGCATCCCCGTGGGTGAGCGTGGCGCTCATGAAGCAGCTCTGTGCATCCCCTGAGCCTTGTGCTCGTGCTGCTGCCTGCTCCGTTCTGCTTTCCTGCCGGATTTCTTCTTGTCCTGGGTCTCTCGTGTCACAGGAGGCAGCTCAGTCAGCCCAAACCTCCTCCTCTGCACGGCTTAGGAGCCTGAAGCTGCTGATGGAGGGGCTGGGGGGGCTGCATTTGGGGAGGGCGATGCTCCCCAGGCCGCAGGGGCTGCGCTTTCTGCTTCGGCCATCTCCGTTTTGGGTCTCTGTCCATAGAAAAGCAGGAGATGGAGCCCCAGCCCATCCCAGCTCTGCCATTGCACCTCCCCTCTTTATTTTCAGTATCCCCCAAAATGTGCCCGCACGGGTTCCTCTGATGAAAGCACTATAAATGAGGGTAAATTAGCTAGGACAAAAAGTCCCTCATAATGCTTTGTATTTCAATTGCTGCGCCTGTCCACATCCTTTTTCCAGCACGTTTAACAGAAGTTAAGCAAAAGCTGAACACCCCAAATTTGGTCAGGGTGCAGGGGCAAGGGCCCTTCCTCATCTTTAACCTGCGGGCCCGTTCTCCCACCTGGAATAACCATGGCCTCGTTTCTCCCCCGTTAAAGCTCCCGCTCGTTACAATGCACTTGACGAAGGTGCAGGAGTGGATGTGCCGCAGCAGACTTCATTCTGGAGGCTGGATAATCTCCCTCGCTTGAGAATCTGGGCCAGTGCCCGAGGTAGATTTGTGGCATCTATCAAACCTCAAAGAGCAGCAAGGAATGTAGCCTCGAAAGGATTATTAAATATCTGTGCATTACAATGGGTAATTGAAATGAATAGCGTACTCGGCTGGCTGATAACGACTTGTTTAACATTTATATAGTTCACATCAGAAGCCCCTGGGTTCTCTGGCTCTCCTCTCTCCTTCTCTTCCTGCATTTAATGCTCCTTGGGTGTTGACACAGAGCTCTTAAACAACATCGCTGTTCTCCCAGTTTAAGGCGCAGAGCAAAATAAACTGGCAAAAAATCAATAGGCTGCGTTTAGTGAAGCTAATAGGACTTGCATGAGGCATTGTAGCTCTTCAGGCAGCTTAAATTACAAGAGACAGGGCTCCCTGCAAGAGAAAAAACACTTTTCTCTCCTCTTCTCAAATCACCGCGTGTGCCCCGCGGAAAGGACTTAATTGCGCTCTGCAGTGCCAGGGGGAGCCCGGCTCTGCCTGCGTCCACCCCGCGCCGGGGGTGCTGCTGGGGGCACCACGGGGTGAGCACCCTCTGTGCTGGAACTCATTTGGGAATGATTTAGAGTTTATTTGCTGCTCCTTCCCTCAACGTGAGATCAGTGCTTTCCCAGTGAGAAGCCAGCAGCTGTGATGCTCGCAGCTCATGGACCTGGCTGCTGTTGAAAGCCCAATTTGGAGGCCATTGTCAGTCACGGTGAGCGCAGTCATCGATCAGAGATTGCAGCGGTAACCGCGGTGCGGAGCGAGCCGCGCTCCGGCCCTAATTCAACCACGGGGCGCTTGTCCTGTCAGGGGAGAAGTTGTTCCTTCCTCCCCAAAATGCTTCAGGCACGCTGCAGATTTGGTCACTTATTGATGGGAATTTGGATGACCTCGCCTGAGAACATACTACGCAAATGTGCAAAAATGCCCTCGTTAGGGACACTAATTGGTTAGTAATTTAATAGCCAGTAAAGAATGCACGTAAGATGTTTGTTTTGCTGGACTTTTTTTGACCTCTGATTTTACAGCATGAGTGAGTTACCTTAAAAACTCCTTCCAGGGGTCAGTCACTGGTTTGAGCTGCTGATCGCTGTGGCTGGGTGCAGGTTTCTTCTCTCTGAAACCACCATTGACTTTCATGGGCTGCAGAAAAGCACCGTGCGTTGGTGCAGGCACAGACCCTTGGGTACCGTCCCCACTTCCCCTTGCCCTGGTGCCAGAGATGGAGAGGAGCCGCTTGGCCGCTCTGGAGCATGAAGATAAATGTCCTGACACCGACTTCTTCCTGGCAGAGAAAGTCGGGAGCGGTGAACTCGGGAGGCTGGAAATGATGGAGATTCTCGCTAACGAACACGGGCGGCAGCTGAGCGCCGCTGATGGCCACGGTTCACGGCGAGGGCCGCGTCGCTCTCCTGCCCGTTCCTGCACGTGGAGCCTCTCCTGGTTTGTGGGGATAAATCACAGCAGAGTCTGCTCCGCCGCCTCCTGCATCTTCACGCAGCCTGGATTAGCGCTAAATGAGGTGCGGGTGTGAAAGCTGCGTCCCAGCCCTTCTGAATGCAGCGATGGCAACGGCACCGAGAACGCCTCTAAATTCATTCTTTAGAGTCACAGCTCAGAGGCTGCCGTTAATAACCGATGCTTCAGGACCAGTCACCCAAATAAATTAATGGAATAGTTTAGAGGAGCAGTCCAAGGCATCTTGCCAAGCCAGATATGCTTTTTTATCAGTGAAATTGGCAAGAAAGGAACTTTCAGGCTTAAGATTTTCAATTCCAGCCTGTATGAAAAACTAAATTGATTTTCACCAACTGAAGATACTTACTCTTGAGGATTTAACATTTCTGTACAAGTGAATATCTGTGTACGCACATACACGGCCTCTCACACCCGTACTCCAAGCTGCGCGTTAAACCCGGCATTTGTTCAGCGAGCGACAGCATCCTCTGCACGGCACCGAGGGATTCTGGCACGATTTATAATGAGCGCTCGATGCTGCTCCTAAATTAATTGATCCGTGTTTATTCCTGTAAGTCGGGCTGCATTGCCAGGGAATAAATAGCTTCTCAAAAGTTCCTGTCATGAGGTTGAAATCTGTCAGTGCGGTTGGTAAAACTCCTCTGCTTCCCGTTTGGTTGGGGCGAGATGGCTCAGTGGGACGGGGGACCTCTGCAGGGGCTTCCACGGACCCTGGTGCTGTTTGAAGGATGTCCCCACGGTGTGACAGGGCAGTGGGGTTTGCCTGGTCGCTTGGCAGAGACCTCGCTGCGGGGTTGGGTTTGTGACTCTCCTGTGTCTCTGCACACCAAGGACACATGAACACAGCACCGCGTCCCACACCAGCACCCTCGCTGCTCCAGGAACCCAAACGCTTCATAGACTCACAGAATACCAGGTTGGAAGGGACCACAAGGATCATCACTTGTCAGAGGGGACATCCCTGAGAACCCACCTCCAAACAGTAATAATGATAACAAAGAAAAAGGAGAACACACTGCATCAATAAACCCTGCCAAGCGCCCGTTAGAAGCCTGAAGAACATTCTGATGGGTAATGATATGCAACAATAAATATACCGTGTCCGTGATGATTTAAAAAAAGGCAGTTTCCTTTTATTCCCACATAAACCTCCTACTGGAAAGAGTAGTTAAACCACAGCAGTAAAAGTCTGTCTTTTCCCAGTAGCTGTTGTGGGTTTATGTTGCTGCTGGAAGGTAACACAACGCGTCTGACCGTGCCAGAGACAAACCTGCATGCACAGCTCCGCTGCAGAACCAGAATACCAACCAGCAGCGACCTGCTACTGTGGGCAATGTGAGATTTCCTGGAATTCATTTGATTTCATAAAACCAACCAAATTCCTCCGTGTTTCTTTACCAGTCTGCCAAAGCAGGCACAGAGATCTGGAAAGTGCAGGGGTTCCTTAACCAAGTCCTAGCCAAGAGAGGAATGCTGCTGCATCATGTATTAAAATTCAGCTCATTGGCTTCCTTTAACGAGTCCTGGCAATTAAAACTGCTGACGGCCTGGCCTAGCTGCCTTTACACCGTGCCTGTTCACATTAGTGCAGCATCCCAGGCACAGCCTGCGTTTTAAAGCAGCAGCCGTGGATGTCCCACTCTGGCCCATGGATTTCCCTCTGGATTCAGGTGGCCGAAGGGGGAGGAATATTCCCCCAGCTGGGGTGACCATTCCTGAGGTCCATCACCCCTCATTTCTGTTCCTTGGGTCCATCACCCCTCATTTCTGTTCCTTAGGTCCATCACCCCCCATTTCTGTTCCTTGGGTCCATCACCCCCCATTTCTGTTCCTTAGGTCCATCACCCCCCATTTCTATTCCTTAGGTCCATCACCCCCCATTTCTGTTCTTTCAGTCTCTTTTTAAAGTGTGTTTTCGCAGGCCAGCTGTGGGTTTAAAGGTTTTTCTAAGTCTCTCGGTTTCTTCCCATTTTTGAAGCAATGGTAAAATCCGAATGCCCTCAGCACCCTCCTCCTCAGTGTCGTCTAACTTCTGAAATTAATTATGCTTTAAAGAGAAGGAATTAACACAATTTGATCCTGATGCATTAGTGGCTTACGTTGCCCTGGGTTTCAGAGGTTGATAAACCTGACTACATTCATGTGACTACCTGAAGGACAAGAGAGGTATTTCAGCTGTAGGCAATGCTGGTCAAGGAGGGTGTTTTGCAGCCCCTGCCCAGCTTTAGGATTCATTTGTCCCCCGTCCCCAAAGCGGAGTTGATCCTGCAGAGACCAGGATGGAGCTGCCATGGGTGAGATGCAGAAATAGGGACGATGCTTTAGGGAATGTAAGAGTTTTCTGTAGGGCCTTAATATAAGATGTACCTGGCCTGTTGTGTGTAATGTGTGCTTTGTTGTAGGGTGTCTGAGCCAACGTTGGTTGGGTACAGTGTCTGGAGCTGTAAAATCAGTGTACATTTGTAATTGTGACTTCACTCAGTGACGGGGAGAGGGGAAATGAGCCGTGATGTGAGTGTGGGAAAGCTGAACTACCAGGGGCCAGGTTGTGACCAAGACGTGGCACTCAAACCTGCTTGGGGGCAGCAGTGGTGGCTGGGGGGTTTGGTTTGCTCCTTGTTCTCTGCGTTGCGGCTCTCCCAGGTGCTGGGAAGCCTCTGCCGGGTCTCACCTTGAAGAAGGTCATGGTGGCTCCGTCCTTCACGGCTCCGTACTCTATTTTTGTCTGCTTTGCCAGGTCGTCCGCCGAGTCGATGGGGGACTCCATCCTCTCCACCGTCAGGAAGGCGGCCAGGTTGGCCGTGTAGGACGAGATGATGATCAGGGTGAAGAACCACCAGATCCCACCGATGATCCGTGTGGACAGGGCCTTGGGCATCAGCTCGGAGCCTGCGGAGAAGGAGGGATGGAGAAAGGACCCGTTTTACTCACACATGTGGACATTATATACATTATATGTATAGAGGGTTAGGTTTAACTATCAAAACTATAACAGCTAAGCAGTCAAAGCAAACTGGTTTTGAGGCAGATTATCCAGACCTCTTTCTCGTGAGGGGATGGGGCTGTAGCATTTGCAGAAGAACCCTCCTCCTTTATTGCTGACCTTGGGTGCAGTGCACACTTTACAGGAAACATTCGAGCTGAAGTAATTAACTAGGCTGCTTTTATGAGATTTAAATAGCAAGCTATTTATGAACTTTTATGAGTGTTTTGTTCTGCCATTTAAAAAGTGCTTTGCTTTTATGTGGATTACTGTTCAAAGGGCTCACTCTAGGGAGTGTGTTCAAATACACAAGGTTTTAAAAAGAAATCAAACGGAAGAGAAAGGCGCGATCAGGGTCCAGTACTTTGAATGCTGGTTAGAAGTGGGGAAGCAGGAGATATTACAGCATGAAAGCTGTAACGGGTCTGGGATGACTTTTATTGGGCAGACATGAAGGACTAAACGGGTTGTGCTATTTCTGTAATTGCCCAAGACACCTTTGAAAGCCAGGAAAGAGCTCTGGGCTTGAAACAACTGCGCTCAGACCGTATATCCAACCTGGAACATGCAGCAGAGATTGGGCTTTGCAAAGCAGTTTTGAGCAGTGCAGCATCAAAGCATAGCACGGAGCATGGGTTTCTCCTGTCCAAGTGTGGGTTTCTCCTGTCCAAGTGTGGTGAGGAGCGGACCAGGACGCGGAGCAGCCCTGGGTATGGGGGGGCTGCCTGGGTCCTGCTCAGGATCCTGCTTTTCCCCATTCCATCTCTTGCCCTTTGATGCGTTGGACGGCGTGGCATCAGCCTGGCTTTGAGGTATTTTTCCTCTTAGATGCAGAATAGAGTTAAAAAAGAGCAGAGCTGTCTCATTTGTCAGCATCTGATGAGGGTGCTCCATGGCTGCACCCGCTCGGGCCGGGCAGCGAGCGGGATCTCGGCCGCCTGCAGCAGGAGGAGCTGCAGAGCCAGGGCCGGGGCTCGCTTGCTCTGGGTGCAGCCGCTGATGCACGGAAATCAAAGCGTGACAAACGTTTGACATTTCCCACTTATTTCCATTCCTGGGTTTTCTGTAATTAGATCACAGCTGAATTTCTTTCCTTGTTCAGAGCTGCTCACAGGCTCCCTCTCTGCTGTCTTCCCAGCAGATTTACTCTGTTCATTCAATCTCTATATACACCATTTGCTCCCTTCCATCCATATGACTGCAATCCCATCCCTGTCCCATTTCTGCAGTTGCTCTGGTCCCTCACACTGGTGCCACTGGAGGTGCTGGGTCTCACACACAGGGGCTGCAAGGCAGAGCTGCCCTGGGGAGCTCCCCAGCCCTTGCCCTGTGCTGGGGGAGTTTGGGGCATTTCACAACGTGCAGAGTGACCAATGAGGATGAAACAGAGATGGACCAGGGGGCAAGATGCCCTGTGTGCTGTGAGAGTTGATTTAAAACAGAGCGAGCCAGGACAGAGATCCTGAAATTAAATTGCTTGAATTAACAGAAGTAGGAATTTGTGGAGTCTGTGGGACGCTGTTGTTGAGTTTGGTGAATTAAACAGTGAGGGCAGCGTTCCTCCTCGGGGCAGGGCGTGTGGGTACCGCTCCGTGCAGCACCACACGTGTGGACGTGGCTCCAGCACCTCATTGCAACCTGGGGAGCTGCTCCTCCTGACCCCTGCCACAGCCTGCACGCTTCATTAGTGGTAATTATCATTACACAGAGCCGTGTGTGTGCTGGCAGCTCGCAGGGCTCTGCCTCCTGGGGTGAGCAATGGGGCTGCAGGGTGGGCTGCTGGGATGGGGGCTCTGACCCACAGAAGGGGGAAAGGACAAATAGAGGCAGATGCCAAAGAAAACCCCAAACTGAGAAGCCCCAGCGTGTTCTGCCACGGAAGAAATCAGGTGGGTTTCTTGGCATAGAAACCCTGGGCCTGTTCCCCATCTCCACATCCCATCGGGAGCAGCGGGCACCGAGCGCTGCCCAGCACAGGGGGTCCCAGGA